TTAGTCTGCCTGGGTTTTGTAAGACAGCAATCGGGTATATGGTTTTGGTTGGCCAAACAACGTCAGTTGTATTTAGGCAATGACGCGATTGCTTGCACTAATCAAATGATGCAGAGACCTGCATTCTTAAGGACTTCCAAAGGAATTGTAGAGGTTAGAATTTCTGTATTTTTGGAAGACAAGGGAATGCTGCATGTTTTTGTTTTATTTGGGTACAGTCTAATTACGTGGCATTTTACCTACTCCATTGTACACTAACTTCTGCAGGTTGTTCGGAAGTGTTTACATCTTATGTAATCCACGTTATCACCATAATCTTTGAAACAACAGCTTAGACAATATCTATTGTGTTTTGACAGTCTTTGACCTGATGAGTTATTTTGTGATGTGCGTCCTCTTCAACATTTAGCTGAGGATTTCTTTGAACGCGGTTGTCTGGATACCTCTTCAGCCTTCCCATATGAGTCACATTTAATCCAAATCAAGAGTGGCATCAGCAATGGTTTCACGGTAGCAGGACAAGTAGCCTCTCGAGAAGACGAGAGATATTTGTTCGCCAGCTCTGCGAATGCAAATAGACACCCTGATGAGCTTACGCAGCCGTGCGCGACAGTTGACTTGACACAACAGTCTTCTGATGTCTGTGAGACTTACTATTCAGCTGCATATCCTGGCAAATTCATAGCAGTCAGTCGAGAACCTGGGATGATTTGTGCTGTAGGTGGAGGTAACATGTTGAAATTTAGACCATGAGTGAATTGGGCAGCTTTTTCACGAAGGCTTTTGATACAATGAAGCATGATATATATAAATCAAGCTGGTTCTCAGGCGTCACTAAATGGGTTACGATAAGTATCATTAGATATTAATGTATAGCAATCGCACAAATCACTTTAACGTTTGTGTCAGTTGTAGTTTCTATGAATCATAGGTAAAGGCGATCACTACTGACAGAGGTGGTTGGGTGTAATAGTATCTCAGTTCGATTTAACATTCCAACACTATCCCTTTAAGTGGTCTAGTTTTAAGTTGATTCATTATAATTTCACTATTAAACTATCTCTTTCAGATTGAATAGCCAAATATCGTACCGCACTTACTGAGGGTAAAAAGGAGGCAGTGGTCTCTGGGAGCTCCTGGGTTCTTGGATCAAACATTGTTGTCTGTGGCTAGGATAATAACAAAACTGTTTATGAGCAGGAATACCTACAAGTCGAATGGAAGAAGGGAAAATCCGAGGTGATTTATGAAACAGGTTAGGAGTTATGCACCTCGGCTATTTCTCCATCTGACTTGCAAGAAGTAATTTCAATACATAAAGCACTGCAACGAACTTAAAGCACAGCCTATTGTAGTCAGTCCTCGAAATCCGGTATCGCGTTCACACAAAACGATGAGGAATATAATAATTATTTGCCATTTTTACTGGCGCTATCAGACATTTTAAAATTACAATCGTGAAATATCAGGAAATTACAATTTTTCAAAAGTTTAAATTGTTGAATCATAGTACAAACAATCAGAACAGGTTCTTATAAATGTTAAATTGGAAACCCTTCACAAAGGTTACCACCAAAGTTGAGCGTCGACCCGAACTTCGTTTCCTTTCTTGTAGATAGTTATGGTCAATTAATGAACAACATATATTTGGGTAAGTGCTATGCCTCCACAAGATTGAAAGCTGTTTCAGGAATTAAAGAACTTCCTGAGAAGCTGCGAAATTCTATAAAATGTAATTATGGATAGTATATCATTGATAGTACATTTACAAGATATATATGAGAAGGAGCTACAGAGTATTTGGAATGATGGTATACATTTACAAAGTTTAACGCTTGCCATTCAGGGAAACTACTACGTTTTCGATGAAAATATAGCTTTTTTCAGACGTGAGTGTGTGGTGGCCGGAAAATATCAAATTATACGTTCACCGTAAAATAGTAAAAATAATCAATTCACAGAAAATCATGGTTAACACGTGATATTGAAGAAGGACACTACCTAGTTCTGCCCGCAATACGGATGACACTTCTTCCCTCTTCAGCTTCACGCTTTTCACATCTGCCAACCAACTTTGCCTCGTAGCTGATCAGTACATCCACATTAGGATCCTTTGCTCCAATCTACGTTTCTCTCTGCAAGTGCCCTCCGGTCGTTGGCATCTCTTGCGTGTAGTGAGCATCATCCCTACCATTCTGTACGTCTATATTTGAGTATTTTGGGACAATTATAACTTTTCTAATAATACCATAGAATCGGACTTTAGTGGTGGAAATCAGTGGCCACTCCAGCTAGTGCAACAGATATTCTCCGTTAAGGATATTTTAGTTCGACAAGTGGTGCATACGGCTAAGAAAGTAATGGTAAAGAATGTCAGGAAAGTCTGTATTTCAGAATGTTAGGACTCATCAGGGTGGTATCTAGGCGTCCTGATGCAATTCCTAGACACCTAAAATCGGTAGCTTTGGCGGTTGCCAAGTGCAACGGTGAAAGTCCTGGTAACCAAAGACAGTACCCATCAGTTTAGCGTATGTTTGCGTGCATGTTGCGCAAAAGTTGTTTGTATGGGTGTAAGGGGTGTCATTGGTTGAAGTGTTAATTTAATAAAAATAGAAGCCGCACTTATTCATGAATAAATTGGCACTGAACCAAACAAAGAGACGTAGCAGGAATATAGAAGTTACACAACACTGCCAGACTATATAGTTCTGCTAATAATGAAGCCGAAACCCATTAAGTTCGCATCGAATTCACCCGTTTTTTCTCCAAAGTCTCATTAGAGTGTGCTTCAATAATAAAAAACAAAGAAGGCAATAAAACACAAAACTGACATGAATAAATCTGGCTCCATGGAATGCAAGATCACAGGATTTCTGTAAAACTCGAGCTCTTCCAAAACACTGGCTACAGTATATTGGTTGGCAATGTGTTATTATACGCACCAACTGTTTGGTTTATTTTTTAGATGTTGACGGTATCGACGTTCGCGAGTTGTACGGATTATACTAACGCAAGATCTTATACCAACAACCACTATAGTGTTCGTTCTTCGAGTACCAAATGGTAAAGCAAAAGACCAGATTTTGTCGTCCAAATACGATATATATTTTGGGACCAAATCGCGGGTAGGAATGAATGCTTAGCTAGCTAGTAATCGTGCACGCACGTGACACGACGAAGCACCAAATGGCGGGGATGCTTGACCGTAAGCCTTCAGCTAAACAAGTCGACTTAAACAGTGATGGTCAGCATCCAATGTTGAGTGATGATTGCTGTGGTTAATAATTTTGGGGAATTATTTACCGCTACAGCTCACTCCCCCCCTAGTGGGGTTGTGAGGACCCTAAGACATGACCAGCCGGAAGTAAAAAAATCTCGATGGTTCCCTGATGGGTGAAAAAAAATCTTCCAAGCGGCTTGATGGAGAGCCTGCTGGTCTGTCTGCCTATGCTAATAGGGTGTCTGTACATAGCTTCCTCAGTGTTGTTCGTTGGATCCCGTGCTTCGTTTGTTTCCGGTCCAGTGCCCGTTGCACCTGGAAAAGAAAACAAGAATGCTGAGAACCTTGTCAAGAAAAATGTACCAAATAAGCGTTTTTTTTTACCAAAAAAATATGACATGCATCTACTATACAGTAAAATAATGTAAAGTTCAAAATATCGGGAAAAAAATATACATCTTATATAATTTTATGTACGGTTATAGGAAAAATATCATTTACTTGTGTTAAATGACGCAACATAAAAAAATTGATGTGTCACTCAGTTATGTGAGATAGGTGTGAAGGTATTCTGGGAATCTAACGTGACGTCCAGAACGCGTTTTCTTAGAGTGATCGACAGAAGTAGCCAGTGGGCGAATGCCCTGACAGTCAATAGTGTGACCCAGAAAATCGAGTGAGTCAACGCCTATTTGACACTTCTGTATATTGATGGTAACACCATGTTGGCGTAACCTTTCAAATGCCAAGTCCAAGTGTCTAAGGTGAGTTTCCTTATCTGGACTGGCAATGAGGCAGTCGTCTAAGTATGCGTATACAAAGTCGAGACCGCGAAATACTTCGTTGATGAAGCGTTGGAATGTTTGGGCCGCATTCCGGAGGCCGAATGGCATACGTAGAAATTCAAAAAGTCCGAAAGGCGTAATGATAGCCGTTTTCGGGATATCTTCCGTTGCCATCGGGATTTGGTTATATGCTTTAACCAAGTCGATTTTGGAGAATATAGATGCTCCAGATAACGTTGCCGTCAAGTCGTGTATGTGAGGCAATGGATAGCAATCAGGAGTTGTTTTGGCGTTGACTCGCCGGTAATCACCAGTGGGTCGCCAATCGTTACTATCTTTTTTTGGAACCATATGCAACGGGGATGCCCATGGACTATTCGATGGTCGAATGATGCCAAGGGTGAGCATATGATCGAATTCGTTTCTGGCAATTCTCAGTTTATCAGGGGCCAGTCGTCGTGCTTTAGATGTCACGGGCTGTCCTGAGGTTATGATGTGGTGCATAACATTGCTGGTTATACACGGGAGGTCGTTAGATGGGCAATTCAGTTCCGGATATTTATCAACAATCGGTTGAAAAGTTGGATCGAGGATTGCTTTCATCTTAACGATTGACAAGCTGGGGCCTACGTAAGTTATGCCTTTGATAGACAAACTAGTAGTGTTGTCAATTAATCGTTTACGGCGGACGTCTACGAGCAAATCATGATGATTAAGTAGGTCCGTGCCGATGATGGGCATTGTGACGTCAGCGATCAGAAAAATCCACCGAATAGGTTTGCGTAAACCTACGTTCAGATAGACGTATTTCCGACCATAGGTTGCAATTGGTTTTCCATTTGCAGCCTGTAGGTTGAGGTTAGGATCCTTCTGTCGATCTGCTGCTGTAGCAGGAAGGACGCTGACTTCGGCGCCTGTGTCGACTAGATATCTAGTCTGGCTAATTACATCATGGATGTAAAGTAAGCGGCTAGTGCCACCGGCGACGGTTGCCGCTAACGCGTGCCGGCGGGATAGTTTTCCACAGACTTGGAGGCTTTGCCGAAATCACAAGGTTTTCGACAACATTTCGCTTCCTTGCCATAGGTGTTGTGATACCAACACCAGTCAGGATTTTTGACAGAACGTGTGTTGGACTTAGATCGTCCACGTGCGTTTTGCCGTTGAGGGGATTTAGAACGACGATAAGAGGAATTGCCAGGCTTGTTTGACCTAAGCATCTGCTGGACGGAGTTGATTAACTCTATCATTGCAGAATCCTTCTTCGAAGTCTGTTCGGTAACAGAGTATACTTCGGTGACTGGCCGTTTCGTTATCTCTAGAATTCTATCTGCAGAGACAGCTAAATCATCTATGAGAACACCCTGAAGTGTCACAAGTACAGTCTGAACTGACTGTGGCAGTTTGGATAAAAATAGTTCCCTAAACAGTCCTTCATCGAACTGACTTTGGCCAATGATCTCTTTCATTCTTGCCAGCATGCTCACGGCTGACTGATCTCCTAACTCGATGTTACGAAATAACTCATCCAGACGTTGTCGATCTGTGAGAACGTTTTTCTTGAGGATGGATGCTTTTAGCAACTCGTACGAGTTACTTACCGACATCTGCAGAGTTACGCACCTGCTGAATTCCCGCGGTAGGGCGTGAATAACTGCAAGGAACTGTGAACGTTGATCAGTTATGCCATGTTCACAAAAATCAGACTCAGCAATCTGAAACCACGTTTCAGCATTATCTGGCCAAAATGGTACTAGCTGGATTGTTTTGGCGGTTGAGCGAATCTGAATAACCTTGGGGCTAGGATCACTCATGACGAAAAGTATGCCGATAACAATATAGTACAAGAATAAACACAAAAAGGAACGAACTCACCGGGTTTATCTGCGTGTGAATTGAAGATGTAGTTCGTGGTAGGGCTCACCAGTTTAGATGTTGACGGTATCGACGTTCGCGAGTTGTACGGATTATACTAACGCAAGATCTTATACCAACAACCACTATAGTGTTCGTTCTTCGAGTACCAAATGGTAAAGCAAAAGACCAGATTTTGTCGTCCAAATACGATATATATTTTGGGACCAAATCGCGGGTAGGAATGAATGCTTAGCTAGCTAGTAATCGTGCACGCACGTGACACGACGAAGCACCAAATGGCGGGGATGCTTGACCGTAAGCCTTCAGCTAAACAAGTCGACTTAAACAGTGATGGTCAGCATCCAATGTTGAGTGATGATTGCTGTGGTTAATAATTTTGGGGAATTATTTACCGCTACAATTTTTATAAGCAGTATAGGGCTCTTCAGAGTGTGGCGAAACTTTTTTTCCACCTAGCCCCCTCCCTTGTCGCATTGCTGGGTGCCTAAAGGCAGGTCAGTAAAAGCTCCTGCTCGCCGGTCAGAGCCAGAGAAATATCTACCTGACTGGCGAGCCGTCGGAGGACCCACTTTCGGTGGTTACCCAAACTGTTTCGTTCTCAACTAAGTCTTGCCTGCTGTTCTCGTCTCTATGTGGTAAGCCAGAATTTGTGCACCAGTCATTATTCTAGACAGAACCCAGACAAACCAACAGAATATATGAAATAGTTACATCTGCTCGTTATGCGCATGCAGTATACTTGGAAAAGACGGCAATTTAGGTATAAAAGGGGGTCCTAGAATTTTGTGGGATTCAGCTGAATAGACAAGATCGATAAGCACTGCTGATCGATTTTAGTTGCATAGAAAACTAGTTGGTTAGGCTGCTTGAACAACTTTAAACTCACTTCCAGCTGGTTTTATCTAGGAACTAACGCTCAAGATTGATGTGTGGCAACATACCTGGCTGGAACTGAGTTCCAGCCACACAACCCATTGACTCCTTAGCCTGTTGGCTAGGCTGATTTTAACACCGCCACAACTAGCAAAAGAAAATATAACACTTACGGCTGCTGAAAGATGTATTTACCTACGGTGATTTGGGGGAGTGTATGATCAGATATACTCACCGCAGCGAAGCTGCCAAGCTCTTGTCCCCTGAAATTTGCATTCACCACCATGTGTTTCAATCCGAGTGGAGTGATTGTTGGCAGTGAAACAGCTGAGGTTCAGTTTAGGTGATCTCCTACAAATGACCGTAGTCTCGATAAAAAATTAGCTTGCAGATATTGACTATAAGGTGGTAGTAGAGACTAGACGCTATATTAAGTGACAGATAACAGGCCTGGTATGACAACCTGCAATCATCTAAGTGGATTAATGGCAGTATTACATTAGTTCGTAAAATGCCAGGTGGACTATTTGACGGGTTTCGTGTAGATGTACCACATATACTAGGCATCATCGCGTTACGTAAATGCAAAGTGACGATTCCGCTGTTGACTTAATAACCCTAGTCGGACTCACGTTTAAATTTGCCCATGAAAACGAATGCACTTGACGGAAAACCCTAGACACCACTCAGGAAAATGAACTAATCGGACCGAGAAGTTGTTTCTATGGTGAGGCTGATGTTGCGCGTCTTCAACGCTGTAGGCTATAGCCACTCAGGTGTAGTAATTGATTAAGGAGCTCAGAAAGAAAATTCTAGTAACTAAATAGAAACTATCTTTTATATAACTTGTAAAGCCTCCTGTCAAGGTAGTTGAAGAACGAACGATCAATTCATGGTTGTTTACTCAAACCCAACTCCATATTTTGGCGGGAGTCATCGATACTGCAGTCGTGGTTCTATCGTTCGCTGTTTGTTAGAAGACAGAGGAAAACTATCAGAAGTATTATTGTGATTAATTGCTATAACATTTATCCTTAGACTTTGTGTACAATAACCTTGTGGTTGGTTCTGTATTGGCGCAAGAATATAGAATTCTTGAATCACCAATTTGTGTTCTGGTTTTTCGCGTTGGTTACTGACAATAGTTTCTGAAAGTTTTCTAAGAGCAGAGTTAAGTCCAGGGTAGTTAGACCTGGACATTGGCACCTCCTTGGCCAACTGGATACTGGATTCTCCTTCCGCGTTATTGACCCGATTTTCCATTTCAATTACTCTCTGCAGTGCTTTCGAAAATAAAGTCTTTCACAATGTTTTAGGCTGTCGACCTGTTATTTGGATAATTATGTAGATGTAAAAGTTGGTTTCTAAAATAGCACTGAACCAGAAATTGAATGTCACAGTATCCAGTCCTGTGAAACCCACAAATTAGTTGTTGCCAGCAGTAGAGATTTCTAGAACTGAAAAAAATCAATTCGCATTCTCCAGCAATCATGGTCTTACCAGTGCAACACCCTGAAGCAGGCTAAAAATGACGACATTACAAGAAAAGAAGAGAAACCAGTGACCGGTAGTAAGTCCAAGGCTAGTCGACCAATTTTTCTCATCCCGTTCGACATCCGGATTTAAAACAACAACTTGTTTCGGCAGTGGCCAATGGCAAGTTGGGGTTAGACTTTGGAAAGGTGCTTGGACGCCTCACAGTAAACAGTCGCCATTACTGAAAACAACAGCCCCTAATGAAAATGCTCAAAACATATTACCACTTTAATAAGCCCTCTCTTTGGTGAGAACTTAAAACCCATATTTAAGACCCAGCAGGCCATAAGCAATCAGGCAAATGGCGAGATAGTCACCTCCACGGTGTTCCTCGAAAGCAAAACCAGGTATGATGTAGAGTAACAGATGTAGTCGTCCCAACAGACTGACTTTTTTGGTTCTGACGCAGTCTCCATCTATAAGCTAACTAAATTCCATCTGATTACTGTGATTATTCGGTCACTATCTCACTGTGCGTCGGTGGCACAATGGTTATGACTCTCGCCGACCATGTACGTGGTCCGACGTGCACGTGAAATCTATGGTCGGCCTTAAAAATTTGGGCTACCGATATCACACACTGAAAATCCCACACCCGTAGCAAAAAATACCGAGTGGGATCAAGCTGTAATCAAAAATTCAAAAAAATTGAATTTACCTCATATCCAGGGAGCAGCTGACTACAGTCTTTTAAGGATGGTCTGGGGTCAGGCACAAGTTATTGTCCATAATAGTCTCCGTGAAAGCCGACCTCATACTTTAAGGATGTAGCAAACTGAGGTAATGATTCATACTCATTCCTTAGTAGCACCACAGAGATGTAACTCTGAGGAGGATGATAATCAGTGTCGCTCTAGTGACACAACAAACGGCTATCTGATTCGAAGATTTACTGCTCATTCAGCAACTTGCTTCACACCAAATACTTCAAAACAAGTTGAGGCTGACTAACATTCGACTACACAACAACGTGAGAGCACTAGGAGGAATACTGGATGATGTCACAGACCAGAAATCCCGACTGGAACTCAAAATAAGAATACTGATATTATCCTATCTAGCATCTATTACTGACACCAAGGGAGCCAGTATAAGCTGCATGAACCTGGTTTGGTGAGATGGGGATCGCAGAGGGGGGAACAGAGTTACCACTTGCGTCAACAGGCAGCGCAGCGCACGACCAATGAACACACCATCCACTGAACCTCCAGACTCATGTCAAAGTCATCCACACCAACCGTCCCCTGGGCAACATATACCGATGATCCTCCTGTTGGGCGCGACGCCATTTGGCTATTGCCAAGTTACTATAACTGGAGACTTTAAGGTTTCATTTATCAACCCAGGGTCGGAGTATGCTCACAGATGATTCGATTGAAATCTGTTCACTGTTGGAAATGCTGAACTAACTGAGGGTATTGGAGACAACACTAGGTGAGGCCCTGGTGATAAGTTGTCAGAAGTGGATCACTTCTTAACCAGCGACTAGATACCAGCAGAAAACTTTCATAACAAGACACCCATAGGTAAAACTAACCATGCGGGTATTAAGCTTCATTTCGTTCTTTAGGAGATGTTATAGTGAGATGCTACTCAACCCTGTCGTTGCGTTAAAAAAGCTGACCGTACCGAAATGGGAAGACTTGTGTCTGACCTACAATAACTCAAAAACTGGTTTGAACAATTAACAGAGAAAATTTTGGGAATGGCAAGTTATTCGCGAAAATCTCAAGTGCCTTCCATCTAGTTACGCTACATCCTAGGCGGAAAGATGCACGCGCGTTACTCTATAAAACAGGGTAAAAGCTTGGTTTACAAAGCGACTCTGCAAGAGTCAAACTGACAACGAGACACACTTAGAACTCAGTAACCGATTTAACAGAAGTGTCCAGAGTGACAGGGTGGTACTTCTAGCAGATCTTGCTAGAAAACCCTTGCCGAACACATAAAGGTCTTAGTGGTTCATGCCGGAAAATGAAGCTACTAACTGGGGTGCGTGTACCTCAGGAATTTGAAAAGGTCACTATCTCAGTTGTCCAGAAATAGCCAGAGCATTCAGCACAAACTTTCACTATGGGTTTTACTACCGCAGGCCACGGGAGTTGCATTGCTGAATTGCTGAGTATAAATCGAAGGGTATACTCCACATTATCCCCACAGTGGTCCCTAGGGCTCTGCGAGAACTAACCTCGAGAAATTCTCCAGGTGTGACGACAGTGGAACATTGCTCTGTAGTAGTGTGAGGAAGCTCTCTGCAGGTCCTTATGTGACGTGTTTCAACAGTCCATCGATTGAGAAACTGTCGGAGTAAAGAAAAGCCATCTTTTCTTCTGAATATTCAGTGGTGGCAGTTGGATGAACGTAATGAGCTACAGATCAACAGTGCTAATCCCTGTTTCGTAGAAAGTACTGGAAATCCTGATTGATAATCAAATCAGGCAACACAATGACAGCAGCAACACACTCCATCGAGGACAACATGATTTAAAAAGGGGTAGATCCTGTGTAACAAATTTCGAATTAGTGTGGAATGAGTGAACATCCCACCGGGATGTGAATGTTCCGTTGAATGTAATCTCTGGTTTCGCAAAGGCATTCAAAACTGTTCATAACGATATTAGCAGCTTACCTCTCTCAATGTTAGAGGACTACCTAGACGGAATTCAAAGTCAGTCATGTCTGATCATCCTGGTAGGCGCTGTATTGAGAGTTCCACAAAATTTTATCTTGGAGACCTTATTGTTCTTGATTCCCAGTGACCTACCATGCAATCTAAGCTGATTAGGTCTTGCTTGCGTTGACGATTATAAGGGCAATAAGTTGCTCGGAGGTCTCAGACCGGCTGCTGATAGAACTAAATATTCTAGGAGGCTAGGTATGGGTCAGCGGCATGTCTCTAAATCCATGAAGGGGAGTGTGGCAGCTACAGACCTAAATGCCTCGCAGAGTAACTTATTCCCTGCATGACGAGAACTTGTGGTGTTCTGCATAAAATCGCTACATAAGTCTCGTTCTAACGGAAATCTGGATACATTTGTGAATTACATGGCTGATGTGGCGAGGGCATGTGCTGTTATATACAACACTCATAGACATCTAGGTGGTCTCACTGCTGAGCTTTTTTAAGACTGTATAAGTTATACGAACACCGCACCTTGGAGTGCACAACATTATTACTTCTCCGTTTAAAGGAAACCAACCTCTTGGAAAGGGTTCAAAGTCGGATTGGTCTTCGAAACAGACCAAAAGATGACAGAATGAGGAAGCCAAGCGTCTTCACACTTAGCTACTCTCGTCCTAGGGATGACGTAGTTACTGTCTTTGAGATTATAAATGACCAGATTTAATGGAAGGTGCATTCTAACATGAAGTCATAACGCGCCTACTTGCAGCAACCCAAGAAAGATAGCGCGAAATAGAACGAAGACTCGAATGTGATTCCATTACCTTCATTTCAAGCTTCCCGTCCCTGGAACTTCCTACCAGCATCTGTCGCTTCTTACCTTTAGTGGAAGGCTTTAAGGGAAGTCTGGTTAGTCATGTAACAACATCAGGACTTTGTTCGTGAAATACACACAAACACAAACCACACTTTAACAGTGAGTATAACATAAAGTCATCCTATTCCACCGCCAATTCTTTCCGGCCTCACATCCTCGATTACTCGATCCATCGAATTACACATTTTGTAAATCATTAAGTTTCATAATCCATTTATTTGTACGTCATTCTTTTAAGCCTATATAATCTACACTAGTTGTACCTATTGTTATTATTATAGATAGTCTTACTTTTTTGACTGTAATGGGCGAATTAAATGTGCAAGTTTTAGCTCCACTCACAACAAAGACATGGCCTTAACAAACGGTAAATTGCATTCCACATATAGCTAATCTCGGCACCGCGGACCATGAACCTAACCGGAGCTACAGCGGTCGATTAGTGGGACAAATTATATAGAATTTTAGCAAAGAACGGCAACATTTGCCTTAATACCAGGAAGCTAGCCCAAAGAGATCTGTGTAATTTACACTGGAAAGTAGAAATGACACTTTTCTTTTCAATAACTGAACATGAGCATTATATTTTATCTCTGGAGATTAAAAGTAAGTGATTTATTCTACTTAGGCTCGGAATAACCGCTGTCTGTACTTTCGTGAGTGAAGCCAGGCAGTTAATAAGTTTTTAAGGGGCAGAAATAAACTCTTCACTTTTGTAAGAGCTTGAAAAAATAATATTGGATATTGAAACAGTTTGGCGGCTAGTTGACGTGTGTCGCTACTTGTTTTTACAACGAGGATATGAACGTAGTTAAGATAAATGGTGTGAAAGTTTATAATCTAACAGCCAATCGTTCGCTTCCTGAATGGGCATCCAAATCAGAAAAGAGGAAGAAAAAGGCTGATGGGGATTTAAGCCGGCGTATTGAATTAATCCAGGAATTAGAAATGCCAGATTCAACTACTTATTTATCTTGTTCTCCAGACGGTCACTATTTATTTGCTTTAGGACGCTACAAACCTCGAGTTAAGTGTTACGAGTTATCAAACCTCTCACTAAAATTTGATCGGTGTCTTGATTATTTACCATACAAGATTGTATGCCTCAGCGACAATTATTCTAAATTTGCACTATTAGAAGAAGAAAGATGGGTTGATGTACACGCTGCGGGAGGCCACCATTTTAAATTTCGAATTCCTAAGCAGGGTGTGGATTTAGATTACTGTTCTTACACATGTGACCTCTTTATTGCCTCATCACGCAACCATATATATCGGATGGATTTGTCTGAAGGTCGCTTCAAAACCTGTTTAGTATCACGTCGCTTGGAAAATACCAATCATGGATTTACATCGTGCATCTTTGAGAAAAGTTATGGCCTTCTTCTCGGTGCGTCAACACTTGGCTGTGTTGATGGGTGGGATACGAGGACTTCTGAACATGTATTTGGCTTAAATGTATGCGAGTACGCCCCACCTCCCGAAGAGGTCCAACACAGCCGACGATCAGCTGCAGTCACCTGCATTACGTACAAGGACCCACTGAATATAGCAGTGGGTACCAGTGACGGCATGGTTTACATCTACGATCTTCGACAGAACCGTAAACCTTGGCATTGCCGTGATACTGAGTATAGAGAGCCGGTTAAATCCATCAGTTTTCATGACGACAAAGTGCTAGCGGCTTTGCGTTACTGCTGTAAGATCTGGACGGTCGATACTGGCAAAATATTTGTTGGGTTCAATATTGGTCCAGCGGAGTGCAATTCTATGTACCATTTCCCGAATAGTGGGCTACTCATGGTCGCTTCAGAGTCCCCCAAGATTTCAACATATTTTGTTCCACTGCTTGGAGAAGCTCCATTTTGGTGTAGTTATCTGGACAGTCTCGTCGTGGAGTGCGAGCCAGATGTAACAACTATGTATGATGGATACAAATTTATAACTCGTCAACAACTTGCTGATTTGGGGATGTCAGACCTTATTGGAACACAATTTTTAAGAGCCTATATGCATGGATACTTCATTTCCGCACGCCTTTATAATAAAATACAAGACTATTTGGGTATTTCCCAACAGCCTGCCACTCATGTAACCAAACCTAAATCTTCCGACTCCCAGCCTAAAGCTATATCGCGTTCCGAAAACATAATTGCAGAATTTAATGAAGCTTCCAATGATCAACGTTTCTGTAAACTTTCAGACAATCCGAAGCTCACACTAAGTGCTACGGATGAAGATTCGGACCTCATACAAATCCATCAAGCAAGATTAGAAAAGAAACGTAGACGCAAGGAATTGCGTAAAGAACGAGCTGCACGTACTGAGTCACTGGTAAAAAAAGTCTCTGATGAACATAACTAAAATTCAGATTTTCTGTATCCAACTTTGTAAATAATAATTTTTACAGTATCTACTAGTTCTTACTTTATAGCTTATAAAGCAGACAATTAATTGCATATATTTTTCAGTATGAATCGAGGTAGACGGCGTGGTGGTGGTCCAAGTTTGTCAGGTCTGCGTGATGGTGTAAAACGACGTCTTTTCGATCCTCATTCTGTCCCTACTAAGCCTGATCCCAAGTTCGAAGTTAGCCGTCTAATACCGTTTACATTTCCTAAAGTTGCTATACACTCTTCATTGAGTGGCTGCAGTGCAGATGACAACTCAAATGTTGCAAAAGCTGACCGCGATGGTCTCCAAATAAATTTGGTACGTGCTAATTAGCTATATTGTCCTGCTGTTTACTTATTCTCTTATTACATTCAAGCTAATTGTAATTACATTAATTTCGGCTCGTACTTAACCTATATGCCTACTGAGGTTTATTTTTTTTACACGTTACCTTTTTGTAGACTAGGCAGGTAAACATCAATATATGACTAATCAGAGTTTATATTTTAAAATAGCCACATCACAATTCAGGATGTGCGAAGGTATAGTGAGCAGAATGTGCTATAATAGGGGATATTGTAATCTGGTGAAGGTCATTAGAGATATCTGAAAAGTAAAAGTAGTGTTTGATCCGCTGCAAATAAATACTATAACCAGTTTGCAGACAACTAGAGTAAATCCAGCAGCTCTCCTCGTGGGAAGCTATTAGCATAAAGTATGAGCATAATATGGAGATAAATCAGACACACTGAGGGGACTGTTGAATGACATCGCACGTCAGGCCATCGAGTGTAGCCCGAATGGGGGACGAGTGGGATGCCCGAGGGTGTTGTAGAGGAAATGATGCGAGAAGCGGATGGAAGCCTATGGGCAGTAGCGGGGCCAGCTGAATAGGTCCGTAGATAATAGGGCGGGGTGGAGATATGCTGTTGACGCCCTCGGAACCCAAGGGAACAATAATAATTGATCATAGTTACTAGGTAATTGTTACGAGAAGATATTCTACAAGATCAGTCAGACTGCTTAAAACTTGTGAATTCATATTTGATTTTTGATCAGTGAGGCAAGGTTTTGCGTTCTCGCAGTACGTTCATGGTACTACCTTATCAGACCCAGTCTTCCGTCAGTTCTGGTATGGACTTATGTATGCATCCGAAATAAGTAGTTGTAAAACTTTATTCTCTGCGACAGAAGTGTGATTTCGTTATCATTCATATGAATACAAATGGTGAACAGCTTGGACATAAATAGGTAGGGTGTCCAAAAGCTTAAGCAATAGAGAAAAGAGAATTAAGACATTGAGCTTTCAATGTAGAACTTTACGATAAGGTGCAGCAGTTGAAATTGCTACACTTTATAGACAGCATAATTGTAGAGCAAAAAGACGAATGGCAAAATGGAAACAGGTAGGTGTATCAATCAAATTGAGCGTTCGTTATTGCATATCGCAATCGGAACAAGGAAAAAGAGGTGTAGCATTCCATAAGTATGATACAGTATTAGACACTGGATGACGTCTCAAGCACAATTTATCGCTTATAATCATATTAGTTTGTTCACATAACTTGATAACTTGCTTTTAATAGCCTCACTCGTTTGTAGGGCAACCCTCCATACATCCGCAATATGTGTCGCATCATTTTGGCTGCACACATTTTTTGTTGATTCGATGAACAGAAATTTGGTGATTAACTTATTCCCTTACCTAACTGCATTACTTTTTAATTCTTTGACCCCATCCCACTTCATTGTGCAAATACATGCAAGTATTGCGATAGACAAGTTCTTTTCCAGATTACTTAAGTTATCATGGACAATCGTTTTAGCTCTAGTCAAATTTCTATGTTCCGTTGATCTGATTGACTCCAATCTTGTAGTGTGATTTATGTAATTTTTCCAACTTGAGTCTGACAAGCTGAGAAATGTCTGAATGAGTTGGTTGGTTTATATGACGCACTAATTCCAGCCTTATTAAGGCTTCCACTTAAGGCCTCTGATGTTCCTTTTCTATATGTCATTCATTTTCTAACTCGGAAGTGAACTGGGTTTCATCTACTACTGAAACTATGTGTGGATGGCTTAAGAAAATGTACAGATTTCAATACATTGAATGTGTTATCCACATATCTCAACTAGAACCTAGGAGCAGGATTAAGCGTTCTGGTGGGATTACGTTCCTAACTACCTATCAATGTCTGCTACTCCTGGTAATATTGTTGATCTTATTGTCACTTCATTTGCCTATTTCTTTGCTTTCCTAGTTGAGGATCAGCAATTATTGAACACAGTATTATTTCTTCAACCGAGACGTCAGTTCTTATCATGAGTTCAGGTTTTACGTTTAGCTGATTCTCCAAAATGAAATCAATCGGAAAGTTAATATAAACTTATTACCGCAGAACGACTCGATTTTTCTATTTTAATTACTTTTATGTAATCTGTTCACAAATTGTAAGTCGTCAAAATCTCTCCTGGTGTTTGCGATGGGATTTATGTTCACAAATGCGGCAAGGTATTGTTTGTTTTTCGAATAATGATACTTATGTATTGTTTTTATATCGATTTGCTTCCTTTTTATTTTAGTTCGAATTGACAGCTAAACTTGAAACGGCTTTTCGTTCAGGTCCATTTTATCATTCAGTTCCAGAACTGTCGGAAGGAATCAGTGCGGCTTCATTATTATCTAGCAAAAAATTAAACTTGGGCAATAAATTGCCAAATGTGGTATCTTTGTTGCATCTTTTGGTTGCTCATGATGAAATTAATCAGTGGTCGGACGAGGATATGAATATGAGGGAACCTGATGATTGGTAAGTTATCATAATTACTGATGTAAGAGGAAATTAACTACACTTGAGGTGCGTAGCGGTGAACATAAAAATATTTAAGCAGAAAAACGTGGTTAGTCATTTTGATAGCTCACTTAATTTTGGTGAAGCCAGTGTGCCGGATGTTTAGCAGAATTTCTCATGAGGATTCTTTGAAATGAGTCATTAAGCTCCTTATGCTCTCACCCATATAATGAATTAGTTCATTATTTTTTGATGGTCGATAGGATTTGCTAAAAAACACAAGCATTTTTTAGATTTCAGTTTATCTGTTCAGTATTATGATTTGAGTTTGTTAACCATTTGAGTCCAGTTTTCATGTAATGGATATTGACACTACAATTGTCGGTATGCAGATACTCAAAGTTAATCGACTTAAATGTCACTTATCCGTCTAATATTTGTAAGTTGAATTATCACTGCACTATTTCTAACTTAATGGTGTCCTCGACCGGCAATGTTAGCTGACATAGGGTCAGGTTGGAAAAGAGCCAGTAGTGGTCAAACCAAAACATGACCTCATCAGTCAATGAAGTCCACAACAGTTAGTTTAAGCCACGTTGGAAGATGTAGACTTCCTGGTCCGGGTCCTTGGGACGGTAAACACTAATGACTGGAGACAATTGGTGATATGGCTTAAAATCGTTCTCAATGGCTCAGATGCATCCACTCTTTGTGACTTGTGATTTCCAATAAAACTATATTGTTCTTCAATATTACTATTCTTTTTGCCTCATATCTCTGTTTACTGTCTCTATTTTTCGTTTCTTTTTACTTTCTTTTCTGGCTTTGTTTGCTACATAAAGTGTGGCGAATCGAATTGCTGCACATCGGTGCAAAGTTCTATGTTGAAACCAGATAGACAGGTGTCCATGTTGTCCGTATGATCTAATTAACGTTTGTACTTCTTTCGCCGAATTTGTAAATCGAAACCTCTTGCTTGTTATAATCCGCTTGTATGTAGTGAATACGTCGAACCGACCACTAATAATAGATTAGTGTAGCAAATCCTACCGCCAGTGTTATAAATGTTGCAGTTCATTATGCTGTTAGCTTAGTGTCTCCTTAACAGCATGTTTGTCAGAGGATCACTGAGTGATTAGTATTGAGCTTTGCTTTCTGAACAGGAAAGATAAGCAAACTAATGAGCGTGTTAATTAAAAGCGATTGATTGCTGAGTCATAGCTGCTTACCTGTACATAACCATCATCAACTTTCGCAGTGATCAGTGTCAGCTTGAATTAAATTAGGTAAGGAAAATAGGATGGGAAGGCCAAGTTGTTGGCTGATAATTTATGTGTAGACTATCTGGATGGAGTTCTTATGGTATTAGGGATTTAAAGTTGCGTGACTGAGATGGCGTATAGTGAAACCTGTTATAATTCTCCAAATTTATTCAGTAATTTTTATCATCAGAATATTTGGAATTCCCGCTTCATTGCCTTTCACCTTCATATGGTTCTTTATTTAGTTATTTTTAGCGTTTAATATACACTTCGTAAGCACATTATGGGAAAGTAGTAGAATATTCGGGGACTTACGCCTCACAAACCATTGAGAGTTATTGATAATAGACTAATTTGGTTCACATACCATTCTTATTCAAAGTGTATGTAGTCGAATCGACTGTCCACTAACTTTTCCTTATAGCTTTTCGTGGATAGATTTTGATCATGTAATAATTGTCAAACAAATAATTAAATGGACTTGGTTATTGATTTCGTTGTGCAAAACATTCAAATCCCATTCAGATTCAAACCAGTAGTGTCTCTTAGCTTAAGTGAAGTAACCTTTCAGTTTAGCATCAGTAAAACGTTACTCTAGTTTTCGAATTCTAAAAAGTTATTCGTCTGCCTGATTCGATTTCACTACGGACATTGTAGCACCCTTTGAGGGTACTCCATTAAGATTCCGAATAGAACACAGGGCCTCCACTTCGTTCTATCCCCTGCCGTCCTCTTCAGCTGCGTCCACGACTGCCCACAATCTCTTATCTCCTCCTCACACAATCTCCTCCATGTCACCTTCGCACCGACGACCAACTCGTCGCATCCCATTTGGATTCCACTCGAAGGTCTGGGGCGCGATGTCATTCGTCGGCCTCCTCAAGGTTAACCTGATCCATCTCCATTTTCTCCTACATATTTGTTGAGCGATCGGCTCTTGTTTGGTTTGTTGTCAGAGTTTCTGGTTACTAATTCTTTCTGGCTAGCCATTTGATCTTCAGTATGAAGCTAGAGTAGACAGCTGTTGATAAAAGTCTGCAACTTGTCGGAAATGCTTTTCGTGACGAGCCAAGTCGCTGACGCATATAGAAGGACTGACTGATTTCAAATTTATGTTGAAAATCCGAATCTTGTTCTTTATGCTGGCTGAGTGCAGAAGATTTCCAAACTTGTTTCAGGTTAATGAGGGTGTATCTTGCCTTTCCGATTCTGACTTTGACATCTTCATCCAGCCCACTGGTCTGTAGTTGAAACGATGCTTCCTAACTGGATAAATGAAGGAGGTAACCTCTGTCAAATTTTTCCCGTTGATGGTGATTGGTGCTGGTCGTTGTTGTTGCTGTTTGTTGGTTATCTTTCATTACCCCCGTCTTCTCTGTTCACCTAGAGTTCTGTCTTGGCTGCTTCTTCTGTCAGTTTGTTGGTTTTCCATTTTGTGTGACATTAAACATAAATCATCCGCAAAATGCAGATGTAGAGTCTTATCTCTTGCTCTGTGTGCTACATGGAGTGTGGCGACTTGAACTGCCGCACATCAGTGTAAAGTTCTATGTCGAAAACAGACAGACAGACAGACTAGAGTCTTATCGGTAGTCCAGCGTATTCCTGTCTTCTCACTCCCCACAGTCTGACGCATAATCCAGTCCAATACAGTTAGGATATAATCGGTGATAACAAGCAGCTGGACTTGTCTAACTCCTGTATTCACTTCAAAGCCGGGCTTCGCTGAGTTTTCCGTTTTAGATCACCTGACCCGTAGCATTCTCATATACCTGTTGAATGAGGTTGATAAAGATTTGGACACTGCATGCTGTAGTGTTGAAGCAGTTTCCAAATCGCTTCTCGGTCAACGCTGTCGAAGGCCTTTTTGAAGTCGATAATGTTTAGGAAGAGGTTTGACCTCGATTCTATGCCTTGTTCAATGATGATGTGTAGAGATGCAATTCGATCCGCACATGATATTCCCTTCTTGAATCCAGCTTGTTCCGGGCTAGTGGAGTTCTGTTTCTTTCATTCTCTCCAGGATGACACGAATTAGTATTTTACTTGGTGTGAACATGATCGTTATCCCGTGTCTGTACTTGCAGAGGCCCGATTCGCCCTTTGGTAATTTGACAAGGTAGCCTTCCTTCCAAACCTTTTGTAATAATGGCGTGGGCGCATCTGCTACAGTCTCTGAGTCCGTTTTCAGTGCTTCGTGGGGAATTCCACCTAGCCCTGCTGCCTTCCCGAACCTCAGTAATTTGATCCCATTCAAGGCTTCTGCTCTCGTTGGATGATTGGTGACAAACAGGCTAGTTCTCACAAAAGCAAGTGTTCCTGATAGTGGTGTTATTTTTATTTTTCCTTATGAGCTGAACTCACTTTTATGTTTCGCAGTGAGTCAGTTTATTGTACATACCTTGAAATTTTCTTTACTGTTTTTGTAACTTTTCTCTAAAGAATGGGTGTAACTCATACATGAATCTGACCATGCCCCTAGTGATTCAGTATGCTGATTAAAAGTGCCCATTAAGATTTTCAAAAGAATGGTTACTGAACAAAGAATATTCTTCTCGACAACTGTATCATCAGGTTCTACAGTTATATACGTCAAAAAGCTTAAGATTTAGAGATATTTACTTCTGTGTGAAAAGATGGCGAGCGAGTGTCACTCCATTTTTTCATATTTTTAACGAGTATTGTTGGGTTTTCTGCTTCTAGGTACCCAGAAGAACTAATTTCTCGGACCCGACAAAAAAATAAAGTTAGCAAGCATACTTCACGAAGATCAAGGTCAAGTTATAAACGATCAAAACCACATATTACTGATATTGATGAAATTATAACTGACCATTTTATCCAGCAGGTCACTGAAACCCTTCCAGAAAATGATGGTATGTTATGTTTTTATTTTATAATTAGATGAATTAGCTGATTTCACTTGTTTAAAAAGTTTCTAGAACGAGTGTTACTTACTTACTTTTTTACTTTGCTTCGGCTATCTCCTACGGAAGGATGAGCCGGCTTCATGAACTTCTCAAATCATCGCTAGCCAGGCGCAGCGATCTGATGAAGAGAGTTTACGAAGTTTCATGGGAATTTGGTACGAGTGATGCCCCCAGAACCACTCGGCCTTTTGTTTGAGAGTGCAGCTCTAGCCTTTACACAACCAAGTGTGACCTACAAGGCAGTAGGAGTGGAGTAGGGAGTCCACTCTCCATTGGCAGCCGGTGACCGGAGTTCGGTTCATACGCCTTTTTGAATGGGGCCAGACATCCAGGACATCCAACAAGCCCTTTGTCCATACGTCTGCCGGTGAGCTCCAGTGAGCTTCATACGCCAGTCGTTGGAGGTTTGGAATCAGGGTTTAGCCATCTCCCCTAGACTGTCATCCAATGGACAGTCAACCCGGTGAAGAGCGCCGGGCATCCGCTTTCGCCCTCTCACTTTGGTGAAAAACACCTCCACCACGTGAAGGCAGTGAGTAGGACTTCCTCAGGAGAGGCTATGTAAGACGCCCGGTCATATGGGAGCATTTCAAGAGGTGTGCGGAGGAAAGGCCAACCCGCAGCGCAAGGCACCCACCCCCGACCATCCTGAGGCTTTGGAGGCCAGTGTTACGCTTTCCTGTAGTGACAGGATTGTCCATTGTGTGCAATTCACATATTGGGCATATCACTTCTGAGATGTTAATTCAAATAACTATAATTCGTAAGCGTAAGAAAGGTAAAGATGGTCAAATGTGACTAGTACTGCGTCTAAGCTCAGTAACGGTGGAAGATGACAGACTTGGTAAGGGAATTTGGAATTCGGTATCGCTACATAGCGAAATTATGTACACTGTATCTTCAAATCACCATTTGCACAGATCTTCGTGTTGTGCTACTTTAGTCCTTATTATTGTGTTTCTTGGTATTCTTTTCACGCCTCCCATGCTTTTATTATTTCTCTGGATCTGAACTTTTTTCCTACTGTAAGCTGTATTCTTTTGACAGTACAACATTAGAATCAGTTTAAAAGGTTGCTGACACTTTGCCAGATACTCACAGTACCCTAGCTGAGATCGGCATACAACTGTTAGCTGCAACATGCTGAACCTTTGTATCAGACGATTTTCATTGAAACTGGTCTAGTGAAGCAAATGAAGAAGATCTTGTAGTGTACATACATCAGACTAAAAGATACATTATTTATTTACTTAGACTTTTAAACAATCTCTCGGATTTTAATAGATTCTAATACAATTAAAAACCGTTTTCTCTTGTTACATTAACCTGTTGCGTTTGTATTGTGATTGGCCTTGATAGAACGCATTCGTGTTAATGTGAACTCTGAAAAGTATTAAGAAAGTGGTTATTAGTTTTCAAAAGTACTATGTTGCGGCAAGATATAGAATCCATGAATAGTCCCTATCCAGACGTTGATGAAAACCAAACACGTAGTCCAGAGAAGAGAATGTGGAACTCACAGTTTTAAATCTTGAAGATATAGGTCAATTACCCAAAGGACGAGGCTTTCAGCCAATAGACTTCAGGTTGGGGCCGCACTCCACTTAAATAAATCTAGGTAAATGGGTAGCATCATCAGTCCTCACACAATAGTTGTGCTTGATACCCGGCACATAGAATGCTTGTTCCGAGTAACTAGTTTCTAATTAACTAACTTCCTAATCTTGGTACCTAATGGTGACAATTATTCAAAATTTCTTAGATCTGTAGTGGTATGTCGATGAAAGTAATATAATCAAAACTGAAATACTTTGTTTGGTGAATTCACTGAGTATTTATTTGTTGCTGTCTAGTAGGTAATACGAAACTGGTCAAATTTCGTGAATGAATTCATTTCTTCTTAACAGTGGTCATTTTTCATTCAGCACTAAATTGGTTCATGAATTCTATATCTGCTGTTTGTAACTAGAAATAAGCCTCCATTATAGATAAGATTTTATTTTGATAAAATCACACAGTGTGTCATACAGTAATATTAACTGATGACGTTTCGAGCACAAACTATTGCTCATAATCCTATCAGGTCACTCACACAACCTTTTACTTCATTTATATACAGTTAATATTACTGTGTAACACTGTGTGATTTATCAAAATAAAATCCTATCTATAATAGTTATACTCTACCACAGTGCCCAAGTTTTATACTTACAGAAATAAGCCTATTAAGCTGTTCACAATACCTTGCTTTTTCCTATGTATTGTTGCTTCTTCTATTCACAGATGATGCAGAGAAAGTTGAGCTAGCTATTAGTGACAATGAAGACGCAGACTCTGAAGATGCACGATGGAATGATGATGTTAATCCCGATGGTGATCTTGAAGAGTTAGATGAAGATGAATTCGATAATGATTATTGTCAACAGTACTTTGACAATGGTGAAAAAGACTTTAGCGATGATGGATTAGGTGGTGACGACGAAGGCGGACCGAAGTACTATGAATAAAGTCTTGAATCTACAATGAGCACAAGGCACTTTATCATGATGTATATGTGTGTACAAATGTATTTAGAAATATGATTTACAATTAATTTAAAGTTTTATACAGTTAATTTGTTAAACAGATTGAGTTCTATTCAATAAATGAATCAGAAATCAACAGAGTTTTTCGTTTCAGTTGTTCGCAACTTATTTAAAAGTGAATTAATTTGCTGAATTCTTTCAAATCTTTTTCTAGAACTTGCTTACTAAATATTGTACAGCTTTAACTGCCTGTGTATCATGTTTTTTGTCTGTTTCACGGTCACTGTAGACACACTTATTGTTCGACTCTCTGGGAATTAAAAAAATTGGCTTCACTCATTTAAATTCACACAGTACTTGCTGTTTACTTTACCTTCGTTTTGAGTTCACTGGCGTTTACTTAAATGTTTACAATACTGAATCTACTTTCATCGCTCAGTATATAATCCAGTAATCGGTCGGTTATAACTATCTGATGAAAAATCAATGCCGATTATTCAGACGGCATAATTGGTTAGTAACGTGACACTACATTACATTTTGTAAGTTAGGAAGCTTTAGACTTGGCACTTATCAGTCAGGAATGCTTGTCATATAGAGGAAATTTATGTCTGTCATTCAGATATCATTCATACAAAATGAATAGGAGACAAGAAATAGTGTGAATAGATTAAATGTTGACAATAAATCTGCAAAGCTTTTGTAAAGACTCACCATCATTATGCGCATCCTGGATTCCACTGCTAGCCACCATCCACCAATTAAATTCGAATTAAATGCCCAGACATCGTCGAAGCATCTGCACAAGAAGCCGACATGTCAACCTGAGACCGAGCACTTCAGTCCAATCAATCGACGGGAAAGTCTAAAATTAAATTAACATGACCCGGTGCACAAGAGGTGGCTGTCGTGGCCCAAGTGGTCTAGTGGATAACGCTTTGGCGTTTGAAACTATGGGCACTGGGTTCCAGCCTCGGTGGGAACATCATCACTCACTGGGAAATGCAGGTACATCCAGCGACGAGTCCCAGCTAGGACGAAATGTGCATTCTGCGTTCCACTGCTAGTCACCATCCACCAATTAAATTCTCACTATCATTATGTCTGTTATTTCTACATAGGCAGTCACTATTTCAAACACTATAGCAAAATGGATTAAGTTATTGACTTGATTGATATCTGGTCATAGTTCTAAACCATGTAAACGGTTATAGAGGGTAACGGTAGTCAGTAGTGTCTGTCAGAGATGTCTAATATCACTTCTAGTTTTACTACTGAGTCTGTTAGACTTCTGAATCTCATGAATTGAAATGGACAAGGGAAATATCTTGACTTAAGGTGGTACACAGCTGATATAGTTTTAGGTTAGTAAGCTGACAAAATACAAAGTCCGTATAACTATAAATCCACTAATTTAAGCATACAATAACCAGTAAAGTTGAATAAGAATCACTGTTCGCTCTAACTATTTTTGTTCTGAATAAAGTATGGGAATATTCAAGCTACTGAAAATAAAAAATCTAAAAACGAGCATATATCTGAGTGTGTGGTGGTGTACAGTTTGTCTTTTTCAAAAGTAAGATAACACTATTGGAGTAAGTGTAATGTAGAGTTGACCATAGAATGGTCAGAGTAGTGCCCTGCAGCTCACTCTGATTTACTTTGATCACTGAAAGTGGAAGAGATGGAGATGTTAGTGGCTTTTGATTATTTAATTTTTAAAGCTATACATTACATGCAACTGTTCCTGACCCTAGTTGTTTAAGTTTAATACAGACTTCCTACTTTATAGTCAAAAAGAATGAGAGGTATTTTGATTTGACACTAGTAACTAGTGTGATGAGTCTAGTTCTCTCTTTGGTGCAGACTGAATTCTATCAGTCAGGTTTGCAATGTAGCCACCATTCTAGGTAGCTGACTGATAGAATTCAGTCTGCACCAAAGAGAGGACTAGACTCATCACACTAGTTACTAGTGTCAAATCAAAATATCCACTACAGTCCTACAGGAGGTCAATCACGAGCCTGAATAGCTCAGTGGTAACGTCTGTGACTGCAGCACTGGGTGACGCGGGTTCGAATCTCAGAAGGGACATGAGTTCCTTCAAGGTTGCAGATACGCCTTGATGACGAGTGCCAACTAGCACGAAACCTAGGTCCAAGGCTTCCTGCCGATTGCCTCCAACCACCTAATATCATCACAGAATGAGAGGTGCATATTATGAAAAAATAAGACTGCATGGTTATTGCTTCTAGTTAACGAGTGCAAGCTTCAGTTCTGCCCAAAAGTAACGGGAAATACAAACAAACCATAGTTACCACACAAAGGGAGTACTCAATATAAGATTAGAATTTGGGGAGTTAATTACGAAATCTTTGTTCATTATTAAGTCAACACTACGCAGGTGCAATCAAAATAATGCAAAACCTATCCGAGATATATAGCGAATTACATTTAAACAATTATACAAATCAAGTTAGTTATTTGTATGAATGCACTATGATACACTTTTATCATGTAAATCTCCAATCAGTATGTGGAAACTTTTTAATGAAATTACTGGTAATAGTAAGCGTTGTAATACTTTTCCCTCTTATGACGTTAATGCTCTTAATCAGTCTTTTATACGCTGTCCTTCTACCTTAACTACTTCTAATGTTACCTATCATGTAGCTGAAAACTTTCATGACTTTAATACTCTCGATGTTCTAAAATGTCTTAAAACACTCAAGCCCTCACGTAGCCTAGGTCCTGATGGTATACCTGCCTATGTTCTAAAACAATGTGCAGATGTGTTGTGTTCTCCACTAACCAACATCCTAAATGCCTCTTTCTCCAAAAATATCGTACCTGATGCATGGAAAGACATCAAAATTGTCCCTGTCCCCAAACCTGGAAACGGCAAGAACGTAAAGTTCAGACCCATTGCCATCACTTCCCCGTTCCTAAAGCTTATGGAAAAACTAATACTTCTTAAACTCGAACCCTCCCTTAAAAACTTCGAAGACCCAAAACAATTTGCCTATAGACAGGGTAGGAGTACATTAGACGCTGCAGCTGTCTTACACAACAACATCGTCTCATCATTAGATAAAGGTGCCAAATACGTCCGCTGCACGTTTCTTGACTTCACTTCTGCTTTCGACTCTGTTCCTAGATGTCTCCTGCTAAATAAGCTCTCTTTGACGAAAACTGAGTCCTGGGTCACCAACTGGTTGCATTCCTACTTCTCAAACAGAATGCAGTACACCGTATACAAAGGTAAATCATCCTCTGCTGCACTCACTGAAGCCGGAGTCCCCCAAGGCGCTGTACTCTCCCCACTTCTCTTTTCTTTCTTTCTACATGACTTACCATCTTCAAATGACATTAATTTTGTCAAATACGCTGACGATCTGTCTGTATCTTTGCCTATCAAATGTCAAAGCGACTGCTCTAAACTTAATGGCTTTCTGTCAGAAATCAGCCAGTGGTCCAAGGAAAATGGTCTTACTCTAAACCCCTCCAAATGCCAAACAGTCAATTTCACCTTTAGGCATAAATCCGACCTAAACAAACTGTTTGGCTCTCATGAGGTATGCAACATAGACGGCACTGAAATAGAAACTAAATCGGAAATTAAATACCTAGGCGTCATTCTATCTGCTGATCTCTCCTGGTCGTCTCATATCTTAGCAATTTCTAAGAAAATATTCCGTCTTACCTTCTACATTAAGAAGTTAAAACATTCTGGTATTACCCAACCCTTACTCCTACAATTCGTTAATTCTCGCATCCTGCCTATTATTCTCTATTGTTCCCCCTTAGTTTTTCCCGGGCTACTGAAGAAAGACTATAACATATTACGCAGGATGTTAAATGTCGTCAGCAGAGTAAGCAACGTGCCACTTAACCAGCTTGTTAATATTTTGGTTGACAGGCACATGGACTCATGTGAAAAATGGGCCAAATCCATCTTATCTAACTCACACCACCCTCTTCACTCACAACTCTCCCCTTGCATCTCATCAGGTAAAACAAGAAGCCAATATAGAAAACTATATGCTCGCACCAGCAAATACAAAAACTCAACCATACCCTACTTAGCTCGTGTTCTGTGTGATAAAGAAAGCATCAGGCGTGACACCTATAATTCATTAAATAGTCATTAGTACAACTGGATCTCATCTTTCCAACCCACTTCACCAATAGGTACAACATTTTCTTTCTTTCTGTTCCTTTTCTCTCTCTTCTTTTTCCGTTATGTGCTGCTTTGTCTCTTTCTCTCGCTTACGCCAGTTAATAAGACAGCTCCCACTTTTCTAACACCTTCAAACACTGTTTCAGCTTTACCTTTGCTACTGACATGCCAATGTATTGTTGTAATAATGAACTGTGGTTTCCTCAATCTATGTAGAATTCTATTTATTGATAATGTACAAACTGGATGCAATACTGTAGTAAAAATGCTGAGAATTCCATTCTGTATCACAAGTACTGTTTTGGAATAAAGCAAATTATTATTATTATTATTATTATTATTATTAAACACTGGTTCTCAGTATCTCCACCAGCTAACGTGAGGTAACGAATAGGCGAGACAGTGAGTGACTACATCTATTGGTGTGAAGTAATCAAGCAACGGGTTATGAATATTTTCAGACAGTTCCACTCCAGTTAACACTGCTTGATGAAGAAAAACATAAGTTGCCATGCCCAGTATGTTTTTTAATATTTTCACTCTATGAAAACCAATAAGATCTGGATTGAGGGGCAGGAGATATTCCTGCAGGTTCACCTGTTACGACGTTACACCTCGTTACGACGTTTACTTCCTGTAAATAGTCAAATTGGGTCGTCTTCTTGGCATCATTTGGTTGGCAAAGCAATTGCAACGAAAACAATCTGACAGCAACATTAGATCATTCCGTCGGTAGTAGTGACGAGCAGTGTGCACAGAGAACAACACAATCAGCTCACGCTCATGACTTGCATTTACTAGGGATCCCTCGTCCACGGGGAATAGGTGCAAACTCCTATCCCAGTCACAGCCATGACCAGACAGTGCTCAACCCTTTCATGTCTAGTTCCTAGAATTTTACGTACCTTCATGGTGGTTCAGGTGGGGCCCTGAATATCTAAGAGCATCACAGGCTAGTAACTTCCGAATTTCGTGTGACACCAATGTGCCGCTTTCCCCTCTAAGAAATAAAAACTGCCACTGTACCTGCTGAATCAGGACCACACTATTGAATAAAGAATCAGTA